CAGTCATGCAGATGATCTCGCTGAAAAAGATTGCATGTGGTGTGAAACAGAGCTGAGTCTTGGATCAAATCTTAACAAACAAGTTTTTCTTTGTGATACCTCTGAAAAAGGAAGTGTTTGTTCAAAAGTGCTCCTGGGACTGGAGCAGGCCCCATGTGAGCTCTCACAGTGCCATCTGAAGGGTATGTGCCTCAACAGGGTGCTGCTCTGCAGTAATTGTGTCAAATACCATGAGGCAAGACAGGCTGCATTATATAGTGAAAAACAGCCTTAGTGCTGAGTCAGTGGGATCCCAGCCTATCTCAACTCAGCCATGTTCTACAGGACCTGAAGATGTGTTTCCTTGTTGTACTGGGCAAGGAATAGCTCTGAAGTGTTGGTCTGTTTATACCTGCAACAGAAGATTATCAAAGAGGGCTTGGCCCATCTACTGATTGGGCTTCAAGGCAGTATCAGTCAAGCCTGGTAGAACAAGGGTATGAGGCTGGGCAGTGTCCACTGCTGGTCCCTGCAGGGCTGCAGTTCCTCACTGTCTCATGGCCCACACCAGATACGAAGCTGCAGCAGCTCTTCCTGTGCTATGGCTCACATCCGTTGCATCACCTGGGCTGGAAGCTGAGTGTCTCACCTGCCTGGTGCTGATGGGGCAGTGACAGCCCTTCACACTGCTGGGTAGCCTGTCAGCTATGACAAGAAGGCAGTGTCAGCTCTGACTCAGCCTGACTTCCTATGTCTGCAGGTGGCTGCTCAGCTGAGTTACTTCTAAGGTAATGAATCTTGACAGAGCAGTTTTCCCTCCCCTCATAGAGGAACTTCAGACTATGTTGAACTTGGGAGATAAGCATGCAGTGTGATTTAGTGTTGCAATTTAGGGCTCTGCAAATCCCTCCCTAAGCATGAGAACTAATGCCAGCTTGTCCAAAGCTGCTTCAAATACCAGGAGGCAGTGAGCTGCAGCAGTAAGTAACATTGGAAATACTCTGAGGAAAATAGAAGCAGTTCCCAGAAGCATACTGGGTTCTGGCACAGCCACTTCTGGGTAAGTTGTTTTCCTCTGTCCTGAGGAAATCAGGTGACTTGCACTGGACCTGAACCTATGCAGATGTTTTTCATGGCAATTCAGTGTACACAGCTGTCTTTAAGCTGTTTTAAAGCTCTGTTCACTTGTTTCTTGCTCCATCTGGGCTGCTTGTGCTGCACAAGTCTCTGGCTTGGCTGGCAAAAGTGTCCCTTGTGTGCTTTGTGAACACAGGAGGTGCAGGCTTGGAGAGGTTTCTGTGGCCTGTTCTAGCCAAAGAGTCCTACAGGGGAGACAAGCTATGGTATGTGCATCTTGGCAAGAGCAGAAGCAGAGCTCAATGTTGGTGCTGCTGACAACTTTCAGCTGCTCTGTCTTGGTGAGCATAGCTGGGCTGTCAGTTGGATCAGTGAACAATGCAGTCCACTGGAAAAGAGAGGTGTTGACACTTGGAGAAACTGTCCTCCACATGCTCTCTAGCATCTGGTAACACCCATCCAAGGGTGGCATGAGCCCTGTGGGTGACCTGTCACTGCTGCTCCCTCCTCAGCACCGAGTCCTGTTCAGGTGTATCTCGAGGATATCATGAGGTTATGCAGGAAACAAAACCCAGAAGGGCCAAAGCCCTACTAGAAATTTATCTGGGTACTACTGTAAAAGACAATAAAAACTGGTTTTATACATTACCAACAAAAGGGGAGCTAAGAGGAATTCCCATCCTTTATTGGATGTGGAGGGAAACATAGTGATAAAGGATGAGGAAAAGGCCTGCTACATGACTTAGACACACACTCAAGACTCAGTGGCTTTGTGGGTGGGTACTGAGGGAAGTGGTGGAAGTGTTCCCTGAGCCCCTTTCAATCCAGCAGTCATGGCTCCCTGGGGAGGTCCCAGTGGACTGGAAAATAGCAAACATGTCCATCTACAAGAAGGGTCAGAAGGAAGATCTGTGGAAGGCCTGTTTGACCTTGGTGCCAGAGAAGGTTATGGAGCAGATACCTTGAATGCCACCATGCAGCATGTGCAGGACACAGGGGATCAGGCCCAGTGAGCATGGGTTTAGGAAAGGCAGGTCCTCCTTGACCAGCCTTGTCTCCTATACACTCCCGCTTAGTGTATCAGTGAAAGGTTGTGGCTGTGGTCTGTCTGGATTTTAGTACAGCCTTTGACACTGATTCCCACAGCTTTCTCCTGGAGGAGCAGGCTGCTCATGGCTTGGACAAGTGCACAGTCTGCTGGATGAAAAACTGGCTGGATGAGTGGCCCAGAGGGTGGTGGGGAATGGAGTTACATCCAGCTGGCAGCTGGGCACCAGTGCTGCTCCCCTGGCATCAGTGCTGGGCCAGTCTTGTTTAATGTCCTTATCACTGCTCTGGGTGAGGGCATGGAGGGCACCCTCAGTAAATTGGCAGGTTGCACCCCAAGTTAGGTGGGAGTGTTGATCTGCTGGAGGGTAGGAGGGCTCTGCAGAGAGATCTGGACAGGCTGGGTCAATGGGCCAAGGCCAGTGGTGTGAGGTTCAACGAGGTAAAGATGGATCCTGCCTTTGGGTCACAACAACCCCCTGTGTCTCCAGGCTGGGGGCAGAGTGGCTGGAAAGCTGCATGGCAAGGAAAGGTCTGGGGGTGCTCGCTGACAGCAGCTGAACATGAGCCCAGGTGTGCCCAGGTGGCCAAGCAGGCCAGTGGCATCCTGGCTGTGTCAGCAATAGTGTGGCCAGCAGGACCAGGGCAGTGACTGTCCCCCTGTACTGGGCACTGTTGAGGCCACAGCTCAAATCCTGGGTCAGTTTTGGGCTCCTCACTACACAAAGACATTGAGGTGCTGGAGTGTGTCCAGAGGAGGGCAGGGGAGCTGGGGAAGGGGCTGGAGCACAAGTCTGCTTGGGACTAGCTGGGGGTGTTTAGTCTGGAGAAAAGGAGGCTCGGGGGAACCTCATGGATCTACACCACCTGAAAGGAGATTGTAGCCAGATTTGGGGGGGGTGTCAGTCTCTTCTCCCAGGTGTAACAAGTGACAGGACAGGAGGAAGCAGCCTCAAGTTGTGTCAGGGGAGGTTTATGTTGGATATTAAGGAAAATTTCTTCACTAAAAGCACTGTCAAGCACCAGAAGGGGCTGCCTAGGTCAGTGGTGGAGTCACCACCCCCAGAGGTTTTAAAAGCCATGTAGTTGTAGCACTGAGGGACATGAGTTAGTGGTGGCTTGGCAGTACTGGGCTAATTATTGGACCCATTAGATGATCCTATAGGCCTTTCCCAACCTAAACAACCCTGTGACCCTGAGGTGTGTGCAGTCCAAAAAGGTGTAGCTGTAGGTGCATCACTACAGTGGCTGCAGGAGTGCTCCTTCAGCTTCTGCAGCATTCACTGGCAGCAAAGGCTAAAGCACTTCATGTCTTCTAGCCCTCAAAGCTTGAGATGATTAAGATTTTTTGCAACTGGACTGCATCTAATGAGAGGCTTTTACAGCTTGAAGCCTCCTGTAGTAGTGAGGTGAAATGGGTGTTATCTAGCACCTTAGACTGTTGTGTATCCCAGGAAGCACATAAGGATCAAGCTGCTTGAAGACATAAATCCCTGTTGTAGAAACAAAGGCCTCCTTAGCTGTGAAAATCAGGAATAGCTCCTGAAGAGTAGGAGTTGTGTGCTATAATGAATGTGGTATAGCAGGATGGGAATTTTAGGTAAGCAAGTCCATATATAAGGGCTTAATACCAAGGCCTGTTGCCAAGGATCTTCGAAGTCACGTAGCACAGCTGGAGCCATCTTGGGCTCCTCTTGCTGTACTGAGCCTGCAGGGCCCTTCAGGAAAGCCAAGTCCTTGTGTTGTGGAGCAGGTCAGTACCAAAACAGGGTCTGTGATCTGATCCAGCACCTGAGAGTGGCTGGCCCACCCCCTCTGCAGAGGTGTGGAGCAGGGCCTCAGGGCAGGGGGGGTGTGCTCAGCCACTGGACAGACTCTGTACTTGCTCTCACCATGCTAAAGAACATCCAGAAGTGTATTCAGGCCTGCTGCAGCTGGTGAACTTGTAGCTGCCTCACTGGGCTGAAGGAGACCTGGGAGCAGATGAGTGTGGAACTCTGAAGCTCTTTAATTGGATGGACTGTTTAGTGGCCAGTTTAGAGCCTCCTGCCTATGAAGTTTTTCAGTTGCAGGATGCAACTGAACAAACAAGTCACCATCTAATGGAGTAGATGACCATCAGGAGGCTGAATGTTGAAGTTTGTCACTGTAACCTTAGTACACCAAAGCTGAGGTGGCAGTAGTCATCTTCCTGTGCTCTCAGAGAAGCCACAGTCTGGTAGCAGTTTGCTTTGTAATTCAGCTGCCCTGTGTGGCTGTTGCAGCAGCTGCTTCAACCACAGCATGTCTTTGGGATTTGGTTCTTTCACAAAGCACAGCTGCTGGAGAAAGCTACCACTTCTCCAAGCTCGGGATGGAGGAAACACTGCTTTTTTTTTTTTTTTTTTTTTTTTTTTTTTCTTTTCTTCTTTTTTTAAACTTCTTATTTTTTGCTGGGAAACTGCTGAACAGCACATAAAAGCTTGAGTGTGGTCTTAGACACATGCCTGCTTAGCCCTCGCTTTGTGGCACGTGTAAGAATTATTAGTCTGTGTTGGGAGCTGGAGTTATTTACTGCACTGCCTCAAGTCAAGGGAGATGGCCTGGACTAGTCTGTCTACCAAATGGCCTGGAAATGGGATGCAGAAGGGTCTTGGTACAGTAAATGACAAGTGCTCGGCTCATCTACCTCTTGGTATTAAATTGCCACCACTGGTCTGACATTCCCAGCCTGTGTAGTGGGCAGACACCTGGTCAGTGCTGAGTGTAGCCTTGAATTGGAGTCTGGTTTCAGGAGTGCTGGGCCCTGCCTGTCACTGGCTCCTCGCTGCGAGTCAGGTTTCTCAGACTCCAAACTTGCTGCTTGCTTTCTTGAGGAATGACATACTAATGGTGATGGGATTGTTCTTCCTTTCTAGCGTGAAAGATGACTTCTAGGAAGAAAGTGTTACTGAAAGTCATCATCCTTGGAGACTCTGGGTAAGTGGAAGAGCCTTTAAGATGCTAATCTGTATCTGGCAGAGCAGTGCTCTTGACTAGTGGGAGCCTGGATGCACTGTAAGAAATCAGCAGTGCTGGGAGGAGATATTTTACAGCCTGTGATAGCTGTGTTACTCTGGGTCTAAGAACTCTTCACTGCCCTCTGTTTTGAATGTGTCCCTGCAGTTTCGTATCTTGAGGTCATGCCACAATATTAAATGGGGAAAATGTGGTGGGCAGACCACTGGAGTAGCAGAGTGGAATAGCCTTCTGCAAGGAGGACATGTGCTGTTGGAATGACTGTTTCACTTTAAAAACACAACAAAAAAAACCAACTCCAAAACCATTAGTGAGCATTCTTAGGTGACTTCCTAAAATTCTGTCAGAGACACATAGTCTGTACTGAGCCATCTGCTTTGCTTCTCTGGGCTAGCTGGAGCACGCCCCTTGGAGTGAAAGGCTTTGCTCTGTGCTCTCAGCAAGGAGCCTGCTCTGCTGTCACAGGTTGCTTGCTGTGCAGGCTGTAACCTGATTCCCATGACATAAGGCTTATTTATACTGCTGTCCCCAGCAAGCTGTTATTCAGGGAGTGTTTCTCAGCCACACAGAGTGCATGTGAGCCTCTAAAGCTTGCTCTCTGGGGAGGATCTCCACCTCTGGGAGCCTAGCAGATGTGGTTGTGAGCTGTTGCCATCTGAGATGGGCTGGTTTTCCACCTCCTCCTTCTGCAAAGGCTGAAGATTACTGTTTGTGATGGGTTTCTCTGTAGCACTTCATCTTCCAAAATTGCCTTCATGGTCATAATGTGATGTCTGTTCCTTACCAAGGATCAGATTACTGATGGGGAAGTGAGGTTTCTCAGGATGTAATCCTTTGTATCCTTGGGTAGCTAATGCTCTTACTCAGCTGGTGCCTCAGCATCTCTTGGCGTGCAAGCCCCTACTAGCAGAGGTGGGTGCTTTTTCCCTGGATGAAAAGCCAAGAGGTAATGGGCAGTGAAGGGCACTGGAATGTTCTCTTCAGGGTGGTTAGCTCAAACATTGTGTAGAAACAGCCTACCAAGTCTTTATTTTTTGTGTTCCTGTGCAGGGTGGGAAAGACATCACTCATGAACCAGTATGTGAACAAGAAATTCAGTAACCAGTACAAGGCTACGATAGGTGCAGACTTCCTGACAAAAGAGGTGATGGTGGATGACAGGCTAGTGACAATGCAGGTAAGGAGGGACTCTGCTCGCTGCTGCAAGGGGTGCCATCATCCCACTTGTGTGGAAGCATCTGCTCTGGTGTAGCCCAGACTGGTGCAGGGGTCAGTGTACTGGGTGTTAATCTCGTTTGCACTGAACTTCTGTTAGACATCGGTGCTTCTGGGCTTCTCTACAAATTTTTGCATGGACTGAACAAGGGAATGCAAAGATTAATCTGGCTTCAGCTAACAGCAGTGTTGCTAGTCCCTGTTAAAAAAATTTGATTTGGTGCTGTCATAAACTAGATCTTGTTAGAAAGATTCACTTCCGTAGTGTTCAGGAAATGGAAAGGACTCCCTAGGTCAACCATTCATATCACCCCAAGTCCTGTGGATGTAGTGTTAACCTGCCAGCCTGCTTATGTGTCTGGTATCTGCAGTTTTCATCTCTCCATGGTGAAACTGACTGCAAGGCAGCAGAAACTGCAGGCATCAGAGGAGTGCTTGGACTCTGCTGGTATCCACATGCATCCAAGCACTGCAGGCAGGTCATCTGCTGACCCTAATACCTAAGTTCTGCTTGCCCAGGACGAGGAGATGTGCCTGGATGAGGCTGAACACAAAAAGGGTCAACTATCTTTAGAAGGTGTTTCTGGCTCTTGATGCTTAGTGCCTACAGAAATCCCCAAGCCTGCAGGTGCTGCTTTCTGTCTAGCTGGGGACTGTATGTGCCTGGTGGGGAGTTTTGGAATTAATGCCCTAATTGCAGACTGACTGTGTCAGAGTAGAACTGGCTTATCTGCCCTGTCTTTTGCTCCAGATATGGGATACAGCAGGCCAAGAACGATTTCAGTCTCTGGGAGTTGCCTTCTACAGGGGAGCAGATTGCTGTGTGCTGGTATTTGATGTCACGGCTCCCAACACGTTCAAAACCCTAGACAGCTGGAGGGATGAATTCCTCATTCAGGCCAGTCCAAGGGATCCTGAGAATTTTCCTTTTGTTGTGCTGGGAAACAAGATTGACCTAGAAAACAGACAAGTGAGTACTGGGACTTACTACCCTCCTCTTAAGGAATTGGTGGAGTGGGAGACCTTGCAGAAACACAGGAGGATTACAGGAGTGGGAGGTGCCTGAGGGTGGCTCAGATGTTGCCTGCCACCAGAGAAGGGTTTCTCCTGCCTGGAGAGGTCAGACCCTGTGCACAGCATGCTCCTGCCCACTGGTGGAAGGATTGCAGCAGCTTCCTGGGGAGGTGCAAGGAGAGGAGCTGCTGCTCCGCCCCCAGATGCGGTGAGCAGCTCCTGTGGGGACAAGCCAGTGCTCTGTGGTCTCATGGCCCTTGGGCATGGTCCTCCTTGCCCTGGGGCTGCTCTGTCAGGTGATGGGAAGTGGTCTCCTGTGTTCTGTTTCAAGGCTGTGTGTTTGATGAGGTCAGAGCTGCTCTGGTTGGATATGAGGGATCTCGGGCCTTGCCCTGAAAATAAAACCCCTCCCTGCATAGCAGAAGGTAGTGATGCTGCTCTCTGTCCACCCAGGTCACCACAAAACGGGCACAAGCCTGGTGCTACAGTAAAAACAACATCCCCTACTTTGAAACCAGTGCCAAGGAGGCCATTAATGTGGAACAAGCTTTCCAGACGATTGCACGAAATGCACTTAAACAGGTAGGGAGGGGGGCAGTGTGCAGCCCTGCCCCAGTGCCGTGGGCTCACCCCCAGCCTTCCCCAGCTCCTTGCATGCAGGGAGCTGTCTGCAGAGCCGTGGCATTAACTCCTCCTTTTCCCCCACTAGGAAACCGAAGTGGAACTTTACAATGAATTCCCCGAACCCATCAAACTAGACAAGACTGACCGAGCAAAGGCTTCTGCGGAGAGCTGCAGCTGCTGAGGGGAGCGGGAGGGGTTGAGCACAGTCCTTCACAAACAAATATCACACTTAGGCCTTCAAACACACAGCCCCTCTTCTGTGTTTAAAATGAAATTACAAAAAAAGAAAAAAATTGCATCTCCAGCTGCCAAAATCCACCCATCTCTCATAAGCATCTGAGTTCTGCACTTCAGAGCTCGCATCCCCACACCATCCACATCACACTTCATGGTAACAGACCTTTCTCTTAGTTTAAAATGGAAACTGTTATGTATGTTTGGAACGGAATCTAATTCCAGGTGTCCGATGGAGAGAAACTGTTTACAGGTAATCTGTGTAACAAGTTACATACATTTTTAACTGTCTCGTGTTTTCCCCTGTGAAGGCTGCAATTGGAAAGGCTGATTACCCATAGTTCATTGCAAGCTCAGCACTCAGACTAGGTTGAGTTTTGTATGTATCTCTGTTAATGCTTGTTACTTTTAACTAATCAGATCTTTTTACAGTATCCATGTATTATGTAATGCTTCTTTAGGAAAAATCTTATAGTACATGTTAATATATGCAACCAATTAAAAATGTATAAATTAGTGTAAAATTCCTGAATTACATGTTCAAGTACTGAAACACAGGTTGTGTAGAAAGTGAGGAGGACACTTGTGATCTGCGGCGTGCTAGCAACACAGCGTCCAGATAGAGGCAGTATTCTGTACAGTAGAGATGAACTATGTAAGCCTTCTTGTTTTGAGGCCAAAAAGGCTTCATCTTCTGGAAAAATCTGTCTGGCTTCCTTGTATCTAAATTCTCAGATTTGCATAACAGCATTGATATGCACACTGGATTATTGGATTTAAAATTAAATACAGCTATGAAATGACCTCATTTGTTCACCTCCCCTACTGCTTAACTCCTGCCATCCTGGAGCGAGCATGAGGAGCCAGAGCTGAGGTGTGCCTGTGGCTCTTTGTGCTGTGGAAGGAGCTCCTCTCCCACTTGGGGTGTGGTAGCTGTTTCTTGACGAATGACCTGGACTATGAATCTTCCCTTTCTTCTTACTGACTGCTAATCTGGATTTTTGGTATGGAAAAACTTGGCAATCTAGTCCCTTTCCTTTCTTCCTTTCTTCCTGGTATTTGTTCTTGCATTTGTAGCTTGCTTAAATGGAGCCCTTCTACCTGTTTTCCAGAGGTCTACATTCTAGTACGTAGGCTGAGCTCTTATGTAAAGAAACAAACATGATGCCAATAAACTTAACAAGAACAAACCTTCTTGTTTACTCCTGTTTCTGACTCTTTTTTTCCTCCACTAACATGCTTTCTTTCCTCTGCCTAGTCACCATTCCAGCAAGCCAATGCCTGCTAACTGAAGGACATTTCTGCTTCTTCCTTGCTATAAAGTTTGTGCCTTCCAGCTTGGTTTTTGGGAGTGGGGTGAGCCAGCCCTGCTTGCTTGGCTGGGGCACTGCTAGAGAGTTTACCCCTCTGCTTCTCTGGAATCTGCCTGCAGGGGCAGGAATGATGCTGGATCAGATCCCTCAGTGAGTACAGTCCTTCCACCCTGTTCTGGGCATATGTCCTGGACAGTCTTGGTGTTTTGGGACACACTGTTACAGCTCTTGCTGCCCTCCCCTTGGAGGGGTTGTGTGAGCAGAGCAGGCTCAGCCCTTCCTGCTCACCAGCAAGGCTGGCCTGGAATTCCTTGGAGTGAGTTGAGGGCCTTTCCGTGGTCCAGCCTAGTCAAAGTTAACCCTTTAATTTCTAAATGCTGTCTATGGCCCTCTGCTTGCACTCACCAAGGCTGAGCTGACAGCTGTACCCAGAGGAAGATGGAAAACAGTGAAATGAGGGCAGTTATTTCAAGAGCTTTCTAACAGTCTTTGTGCTCCATATCCTATTTTATAGTGCTGTCCTATCATACTTTTCTCACTTGACCAGGCTTTTGCTGTCCACATCAATCTCAAATAACTGCACTAGCAATGTGTCCTGGTGGGACCACTTTTCTGTCTTCATGCTTTTTGAAAGACTTGGACCTTCTGCTCATCTTCATTTAAAGTGTTGCTCTGCACTTGTTTTCTTTGGACACAGCTGGAATGTGGAGAAAGCCAAGATGGGGGAAGGGGGATCAATAACCCTGAAGTTCACGGGGAAAGGAGATGGTCTGAACTTTGCAGCCTTCTGCCTGGTCTTGGGTGGTGGAGCTGAGGCTGCGGGGCTGTGGCTGAGCCCTCAAGTGACCCTGTGTTTTAATGTCTTTCCAGTCAGAGAAACTGGCAATAACCCAAGGCAGAGAGAGAGTGCTCCAGATGGGGTAGGACAGCTGTGGGGCTCCTTGCCACAGGATGTTATGGATGCTTCAGGGGAGGGGAGGATTCCATTTGCAACCTACATATCAATGTTTTTACAGGTGGGAATACACACAAGAGTACAAAAACCCATACAGGAGGCAAGCAGCATGGGAATCGGTGCCCTGCTGTTACACTCAGGGGTGGTGGTGTCACAGATGGGGACTGGTGTTGTGCATGAATCACTGTCATCACTGAGGTCTGGAGAATCTTGGACTGGAGAAGCCAGCTGGACCGACTGTTGCTACAGGGAACATGCACACTTAAAACCACTCCCTGCACCACTGGAGTCTCATGGCTTTTACTTTTGTGATGACCTCTGTTGCTGCTGCAACAACAGCGGCTGCAAGGGTGACTTGTTGCTGGGCGAATCCCAGAGGAAACCTGGCCCTGCTCGAGGCTGAGGCTTTCAGCTGGTCCATGGAGGCAGCTGAGCTCAGGCGTGGTTCTGCTCTTTGCCCAAGTCCTGGCAGGGCAGGAGGGAGAGACCCAGAGAGGGAGCCTGGCTGGATGAGGGGAGGGAAAAGCTGCAGCCAGCTCAGAATTGAAGTGGGTGAAGCTGAGCGCGGTCACAGCAGGGTGGGGTGGGCAGAGCAGGCAGGTGTGGGGCAGGCAGAGCGGCACTGGAACGGCTCAGAGGCAGCAGCTGTGTTGTGAGATGTGCAGATAGGAGCGCTGGGGAATCACACAACCACATCTCTACTGCAGGGGCTGCGTGGGGGCATTAGTGCCAAAGGAATCCCAGGCCGGCGCTGGCACGTGGAAGGCGGCACGGCGACGCCGAGCTGCGGAGGCTGGGCCGGGAACCGGGAACGGGAACTCTCCTGCGTGCCTTGGCAGCGGCACCGGGCTCTGGGGCCGGACCTGCAGCCTGCCCTGAGCCCCAGCGGGAGCCCTCTGCCAGCCCAGTGCCCGCAGCACCGCTGGGCTCGGTGCCAGCCCCGGCCCTGCACACCTGGAGCCAAACACAAACACGCTCGGGGCTCTGCAGGTGCACCAAAGGGCTTGAGGCACTCACACTCAAACACAGTTACAGCAGCAGGAATGTGTGCATGTGTTTATTTACCAGGACACATCTTCCGGAGAGCAAAGCAGCAGGGGAAGCAGGAGAGCACAAAGAAGCCCAGGCACAGAGCTGTGTGTGTGTGAATTGCTGTGTTATACAGGCAAATCTCCCAAGCTGAGACAGAGCACGAGTCAGTCACAGGTTCCTATTTGAGGCACATGTGGCTGCAGCCTTACCTGTGTACACACATGTAGCATAAAGTATTTCTTTCTTCATATACATATACATATATATATATATATACTTGGAGAAAGAGTGTGGGAATCCAGGGCTTCCCTCTGGCTGCCCTGGAAGGTCTGGGACCCTGGCAGGGGTCAGGAACCCCCCTGGACAGAGCCCCCAGAGACACTGGCTGTGATCTCTGTCCATGGAAAAGAGTTTTCAATCTTACAGGATGAATTACAAGCTCTGAGTGTTTGATATGAGTAATAATTAAGTGTGGCACGGGTGCAAAAGTAAAATTTTAGATTTCTAGATTAGGGGTTCAGAGGGGACAAGATGGAGGAAATTGGGTGTGTCTTGTCCTTTTTCTCCTTCTTCGTGCCCTCCATGTTTCACTGTGGTGTTGGCATTTTTCTGTTGGTTTAGGTTGGGGACACACTGTTCAACGTAGGTGACAGATATTGGCACGTTATTGTAAATACAGCATAGGTAGTTTCTGGTATTTAATGTTTGTAACATCCCACTGAGGGCAGAGCCCCACACGCTGCCCTGCAGGACAGAGCTGCGGCAGGGCAGCAGAACATGTTAGAGATAAACAGAATAAACAACCTTGAAACCAGCACAGACGAATTATGGCTTCTTCTTTGGCAACGGGGCAGAAAGACAGAGACTTTCTACAATCTCAGAATCATCAATACCACAGATTCCAACAAAAGAGAAAAAAATATTTCACAGAAAATTATGGCTACACCCATATATACTTTATTTATATATTTACATAAGAAAATTTAATTATTAATTACATGGATATGCACATATACAAAGGTGTGTATGTCAGTGTATTAGTTACTGCCCCCATACATGGAGAGACAGAGATGATCACACACATTCAAACATATTTTGACTTATTTCATACATATATGCTTGTATTTTTATGGGTGTGGGTTTTTCTCTTTGTCTACACACAGAGATTTTTCTTACTATTTATACACTTCTCTGCATCTATTTTATATATATTTAAATATTTTATATAGTTCTATATTATTTCTTCATTTCTTTTTTATATAAAAGGGTAGTTTACATGCAGCTCTATGTGTGTAGTTTAGCTATTTTTATATTTCTTGGAGAAAGAGAGGAGGGGGAGCGAGACCGAGAAAGAAAATGAAAGGAAATACAGACACATAAATAAATATCTAAATAAATTGGATGTAGAGGTGGATATGGGAACACAAATGTTCCCATATCCACCCAGCATGTGAGCTGGGAGGGGAAATTACTGTCTCCCTCGTGCTTGTTCTCCATATACACACACATGCAGACAGAGAATATATGTCCAGATCAATACATGCACACACACACTGTATATGCATCCCAAATTTTATATGGGGGCAGAAGAGGGGCTGGGCGAGACCACAGCTTCACACACACACACAGATACCCCACATCAATTTTTACAGGGGGAAGGATGTGATGGGGGTATTTTTTACCATGCTCTGTGTAGGTCTTTCTCTCCCTCTTGGCGGAAAAAGGAAAAGATAGGAAGAATGGTAGAAAACAGACACACACACAATCAGTTACATATGTAAGAACTAGTTACATATATTATAAATAAATGTTTAAATAAAGTGTGTGTGGCTGGAGACATGGGGAATGCTCTGTGTGTGTGAATAGTGCATGTGTGCTTCGTACTTGTACACATGCACATATGTGTGTGTGGCAAGAGAAAGACTGAGCAGCTGACAATTTCACTGTATGTGCATGTACAATTTCACAAATATGTATATGTGCATGCAGGGAGAGAAAGGGCATTGTGTGTTTTTAAGGCTACAGTGTGTGTGTGTGAATATCTCTAATTACATATGTAATAATATATAGAATGATGTATTGATATATATGTGGATATACAGCAGAAGAGATTTTGTGTTAGTGCGAACAATCTTGGTGAATACACTTATCCATATCTATAGCCCTGCAGAGAGAGGTGAATGAACAGGTCACTCTCTCTGCCCTCCATATATGGTATATATGCATATATGTGTGTGTATATTTATAGAAAAGGAAAAGTGTGTGTGAGAACAACTCTCTCTCTGTAGATGCACATGTACCTATGTGTGTGTATATATAAATATATATATTGCAGGCAAACTTGTATGCAAAGAGCTCTCATCCCTTTCTAAGCACAGTTCTAAGTATATGAATGGAGTGAGAGAATTACACTCATTTGTGAACATCTGACTGTTCTTGCTCTATATATGTACACGAGTGTGCAAACAGTACTTTCTCTCTATATATAACAGTATATATATGCATATAAAAAGAGAATTCTATGTGTGACATTTATATATATACACAAATATATGTACACATATTGGTTTATTTATTACAAAAAAAAGCATTTCATGGGTGAGACCATGTGTATATACATAGAGAGAATATATAGCAGAAAGTGTTGTATGTGGAAACAGTTCTCTGAACAGCTCAGTGTGTGTGTATGTATGCACATCTATAAATATATAGTCTATGTCATATATGATTTATAATACTTTATGTTCAACATATTACATATACCATACCTGCTACTTCATCCTCCTAGCATCTAAGTGTATATGTATAGGTACATGGAGCGTGTGCACGTGTGTGTAGCAAGAAAATTGTGTAATTGTATGAAAGAACAACTGTCTCTCTGTGTAGATGC